CACACCTCTTTTTATTGTTTGATCGATCCTGACGATAAATTTTGAAATCACGTAGTGATACTAGGCAGTCGTCCTGTAAATCATTTAACCAAGATTCTTGAATTGTGATGACACCACAATTACGATACATATTTTGACTTAGTAGGAATTGAAGATAGTCCACTTTGTTGATTAGTGATCGGCAGTTAGAATTTAGCATCTCGGGAATCGACATACGATTGATGTTCATTCTTTTTAACGCATATTGCCAACCATCACGATGTCTTTTATAGTACTTTTTGTAACTTGTGCAGCGAAAGGTAGTAGGCTTTTCATAAACGCTCCTGTGTAGGTTATGTAAATAATGGATATAATTAGACGTTAAAAAAAATAAAAAACCCAGATAACTTGTTGAAATAATTAGATGGCAGAAACAGGTAGCCCAGATATTCAAGCAGGTAAGCATAAAAATAATAAATATCAAGTGTTGTGAACCAGTTGGCCCTTACTGAATTACTGAAGAACGAAAGATAATGAGATAATTTGTCTTTCACAGACGAATTCAGAAGAATAATATGAATAATTAAATTTCAGTCTGGTATATTATAATTTTAATTTATAGATAACGTATGTTTGAATTGTTATATAATTAAAAAATTGAGGTATTGACCTTTCATATGAAATGAATATCTAAAAGTGTTTATATTTGATGCCAATCAGTAGATGGAATCTAGCTCAGATGTTTTATGCGATTTTGAACTCTTATCTGAATGTACTTAGGTATTAGGGAAAAAGGTTTAACGCAAGAAGTATCTAAAAGCGAAATCGAATAATCTTTCCAAGGAATCCAAGTAACAATAAAAGTGGTTCAGTTTAAAAAAATTGTTTAACTATTTATCGCATATGTGGGGACGTAGTACTGTTTAACGAAGAGTCACATTCGACTATAATTTTATTTTTCTAAATGGTGAAAAAACTGTTTTGCGTTATACTACTTATAAAAGTAAAGTAGCCTGTATTTAACAAATAAATATGATAAACTATTTTTATTTTTACTTCTATAACTGTGATAATTATTATGACCAATAGTCATAACTGATCACACTCTTTGATGAAAATAATATCAAGAAAATCTAGACATGTAGACTAGGATGAGATGTTGATAGTTCTATCAAATGTAGTAGGTTGAAATGAATTGTTAGCATAAGCGAATAACTAGTATAAAAGCAAGGACAAGAGCTGATGGAATCCAGATATCTAAAATCAAACGGAATGAAATATAACAAGAAATTCTTTGAAATACTAACCACATTCTAGTTTTGATAGAGAATGTCTTAAGATGAACCACAAAATTCCATTCTGTCCCGATCAGTTAATTTGTAAAATTATATTCCTACTGATTTTATTGAGATCGACTTTTATTCAACATGTATGTAAACATATTGGACAGTCTAAAGTAAACCGAAACACTAACTAACAAGTCTCTTGACAGTAGTAACTGAACGCCTTTGATCATATGAAATGTAATCTCATAAGTTTTGTAAAAAAAAATTGTTGGTTAGAAACATGTATTAACACTGTATTAATGCCTTCATTCATTGATGTTTAATAAGTGAAAAGGGGAATTCAGGTAGTCCTTCTTAGTAAATGTTTAGTGTGTGCTACTGATGTCGACAGATATAAGTAGTATGTATCATCAGTTGGAAGTGAATTGCCTGGAGGCAGAAGGTTAGGAAGATGAAAGAAAAGAGAACGCGAGTAAAGAATCATTGTTGTGGAAACAAAAGACCAACGAAGTCTGAGACGATTGACTGACATTTTGTAAATAAAGTATTTACTGTATGGTTCTCATATTTTACTAAGATGTTCTGTAATTTTGTATTCAAATACATTCAATTGTCTCCATTTGTGTCCTCGTTCACTACAAATATGGGTACTAACCAGCTTTTGCTATGCTACTCTCATTTACTTCTCAACTTGTGTAGATATTAGTTAAGTAGTGGTCCCAATTGTATAATGTCGAAAAAATCAGAGGAAGTTCAACAGATTTCATTAAATTAATTGTAGACGATTGTATGTGGTTAGTATCAATCAAAAAATTATAAAATTTGCACAGTGGTAATTATGTAATGGCATATCTTTGTGAATAAACATGATCAGCTATAGAGTTCAATTCTCTCAAATTTTTGATTGAGATCATGTTAGACCATCATTGAAAACCTGGAAGCACTGGACAGCCACTTCGTCCTATTATAGGACTCCTCAGCAGTGCGCATTCACGATCCTGCTAGTGGGATTCTAACCCAGGACCTTCAATCTCATTTGCGAACACTAAACCTTTAGATAACTGAGCCAACATCCATCTCTCAAATTTCTTGATTAAAAATTCTTCATAATATTTCAAATCATACATTTCTGGAAATAACGGAAACCATATCCCGTCCAAGTACTTAATACATACGCAAATGTCAGCATTTTACCAGTTAAAATGAATTCAGAAATTATAGTAGTAATTTATATAGTTGACTCCTTTAAAAGAATATCTACGAAACTCGGAGTTTTAAATGAGATTCAGTAAATTGAATTAAATTAAACATTTAGATTAGCATCATTGAGTAAATAGAGCACTCGATCTCTTGCCGGATTTGAGTTAGATTTAGCTTCAGTGATAGACAAACTTTCTAGAAACTTATGATATAAGTAATTCTATAAGTATCTAACACTTCGGTTTGACCTTATTTGTCTTAGTTGAGTAAAGTAGATAGAGGTACTCAGTCAAGTATCAGTACAGTTTCGATATCACATCATATGTGTCGAGCTACTTATACGTACTTCACACTTAACCACCTATTCTATATCACAAACATTAAGTTCGGTCGTCTTGCACATATACTATTCCATCTAAGTACATAATGCTCTCTTCTTGGTAGCAGTATCGTTAACATTTGCAAAACCAGTCTCTTAAAAGCTATATCAACAGTTCATGTTTGAGAGTTGATACATAGATTAGGAAGTGTTAATGAATAGCTAAAATGAAGTAATGCCATGACTTTTAGTAAAGTAACTGTTATGTCCTTTGCTTTGTCTACCCACTTTTTGTGCTGAGGTTACTTATCTAATCCAGTTTAAGACCTTGGCGCGATAGGCTGACCGACCTAACATTGAGGCTAGTACGCGTGAGTTCGAAATGGGGTAGAGAGAAGAAAACTATTCCATCACCTGATTGGCTGACAAGCACGCGAATAAGTGAAGACAAAACAACTGGAACACTACTCGATCTATTCCTGATATCCTGACTTCCTCTTCGGATTAATGTAAAAAAGGTACATGAATAAATAGGTGACTAAGCCGACCAAAAAGTACAACAGTTAGGAAAAATACATTTATGTCCAAAGCGGGGAATTTGCGTGGAAAATAGGGTGCAAAATATTATGTTTAAATTACAATAGCTTTGGAACAGAAAACGTTATGACAATGAATCATACATCTAACGAAAGCTTATGTTCTGTAGAATAGATAAGGGACAAAAATAAGTGTTAGTGTTTTACAAGCTTTGAATAAAATGAAATAACGTCCCGGAAGGTAGCTTTTGTAGTTTTTCAGGGCTTCGTGTTTCCCTGTTCACATCAGTAACAGTTGAAACTTCAACGATAAAACGAGTTTGCAAAACTGACAAATTTCCTACGGTACCAATTTTCGGAGCTCGTCAAAGTATGGAGTGTGTGAGTTATAAGGTCAAACATATACAGAAAACATTCATTGCCAGGAATCACTGAGATCGATTGGACGAAATTATTTTGAAAGCGTTTTACTTGCTTGGAATTAGCGCAATAATCTAGACTTGGAAGTTTCAATAAATTTCAGAAATGCAACAAAATATTCAGCTGTTTTTGGATGAAAGTGTTTCTTTAGTATTTTTTGAGGAATAAATTGGAATTACAAAAAATAAATTGTAAAAGTCAACAGAGAAGTTCCTACTGGTTAGGCGAGTATTTTAATGTTTGTTTACTTTAATCCATTACCAATAATAACAATCTAATGGTAGATACTGACAAGACTAACCTTCAAAATACCTATTGCATACATCACTATTGAGAAAGAGATTATATTCAGTAATATGAAATGGTACTAAGCCAGGGAGCTGTAATGATTCAACTTTACTAGCATATTTGCAAGCTAAAAAGACGTATATTATTCGGTAAATGTTTGAATATGAGTTTTATAAACTGTTCTAACTGAATTTGAGTAAAAGCTTGTTCCAAGTCTCTGTGACTATAATTGATTAAAAAGTCGTATTCCCTGGGACATCTGATTCAGTAGGGTAGAAGGCTGAAAGATTGATTGATAGTAATCAAAATCAACTATATCTGTTAGCTATGCTCTGCCAGTAATCCTTATCGGTTAATATTTTCATTAAGTTCGTCAGGTAGTAACCTACCTTTTGAAATCTCGTAAATATTTAGTATTAACTATATATCCACAACCAGTCACAAGTCAAAGATAATTCTTCTTTTTAAGTCTGAAAAAGACATTTCCAAAATCTAAAACTCCTAAAGAGTCATACATTTATAAACAGATTCCTTAGGAACAACACATCATCTACAGAAAATGTTGTTTTGCCAAATATGGAATGAAAGTGTTTTTTTTCCAAATGATATGGGCTATACATTTCGAATTTGTTACTTGTTATGTTTAATCTGAAAAAGAAAATATCATCTAAGCCTGAAATCATTACAAGTAGTTGAACTTGATTAAGCAGACAGAAACTATTATCGTAAACTTATATATGCCTAATTACTGAATGTTACCAAGTAAGAGAACTATTGTCGATTCATGTGAAACGTTCTGAATAATTTAATTTTATCATTAAATTTACGTGTTTAATATAGTAATGCGCTAAACAGTAGTTAAGCCTATTAATTTTAAACATTATATATTAATAGTCAGTTATTAAATTTCTTATAGAACCCATCATATTCTAATAACAAAAAATTGATTAATAAGTGTATAAGTAATAAAGTATTCATGTAATTTATATATTTGTATTTACTAATTAATTGTCTACATTGCTACAGATATGAACTGCGTTATTTTTTTGTTTGTTTTGTTTTACTCCTGACATTGTCCAAATTTATTCCCAGTGAAGATTCAAACACTTATGGAGCATTAGTTTTGTTCATTATTTGTGTAGTAGATTTTTCTGTAGTTCTAAGTATAGTATAAGTAGGTTTCTGTGTAGTTATAGTAGGTTTCTGTGTAGTTATAGTAGGTCTCTGTGTAGTTATAGTAGGTCTCGGTGTAGTTCTAGGTGTAATAGTAGATTTTTGTGTAGGTCTAGGTGTAGTAAACATAGTAGTTAAATCAGCAGTTGATAATTTTTCATATTGTGCTTTAATAAATGATGCTTGTTCATACAACGTACGAAACTTGCACAAATCCGTATAGTATTTTACGACTTGTTCAGTATTAATTCCAGTAGGTTGACTTTGAATAACTATGATAATATGTGAAGGAAAAAAACAGATGAAAAATAACTAAAACTGGAAATTTGTTTTAACCAAATTGTTCACATTTTTAAATAAAGATAGTTTAGTGAAAGGAAAGCTCACTTTAATTATTTATTGTTAGTGTTTTCTTTCAGATATGTAAATATAATAAAAGTGGAAGAGATTAAATGAAATATATATATATATACACTAAGATAATATTGTAACATAAAAGTTATATAAGAAAACAATGGAATATTAAAACAATCAAGTTTATGAATTCATACCAAGTATTCTTGTTACTTGAGATTTAAATGAATTGAAATGAATTCCATAACGGATAAATTTCAGATCAAAAAATTGATCACTATTTGTTATTGGTATAATTTTGTATTCAATAACTGATGAATATAAAGGAAAGTATTTATGAAGTGAAGAAAATTTAAAACATCCGCGTATTTCGACTCGCTATCATTATTATTTCAAGTAATTCATAAAGTTTTTAGTTATAAAACTTACGTATATTTTAACAGGGATAAACGAAAGCGATCAATGATTTAGATATCATTACCATGATTCGACTTAATGATATTAAAGAAATAAGCTGTTCATTAGGTTGTTTGTAGAAAAATAATATTCTGGTGTTTTGAAATTTAGAATAAGGCACTTCTTCAAAGAATAATATGAATGTAAATGATAAACGAAATAGATAGAATTTTAAAAAATGGTTTGATATGGAGATAAACTTATATAAGCCTTTGTTATAGCTAGTAAAGATGATTGCATGCAATTGTGTTATATATCATTGTGTATATGTGGGTGATTGGAACGAAATATGAAACTTACACTATGACACAATGATTACTGTTGTATATGTATTTGTAGAGAACAGACCAATTTCTAACTGAAGAGGAAATTACGGAAAGATGCTCAAAGTGGATACACATACATTACAGAAATCACCAAACTGCATCACGAGGCAAGCTCTAACTTGGAATCCTGAAGGGAAGAGGAGAAGAGGAAGGCCAAAGAACACATTATGTAAATAAATAGAAGCAGATGTGAAAAGGATGAATACCAAGTGGAAAGAACTGGAAAGGATTGCCCATGACAGGGTAGAATGGAGAGTGCTAGTTGTCGGCCTATATTCCTCCAGAAGGGGTAGGAGGCGTAAGTAGTATATATATGCATCTTTCTCGTTACGAAACGGCTATATATTAACAAAATTACTTACAAGTTAATGCTTGTTTTCCACCTTCAATACTGCAACATTCGATAAGATTGGTAAAATTACAATTTGATTGTGATTTAACATATACAATCTGGATAAATAAACTGACAATTAATAATGAACTTCTTGTTAAATCCATCTAAAAGTAATATTATCAAAAATATAAGATAAAATTTTACATAGCAACTAAATTCTATAAAGAATACAAATAAATATATACATAAAAAAAGTTTATTTTGTCAAACGTTACCTTGAAAAAGAAAAGATTATTTCTATTTTTAGAAAAGTAAATAAGATAAGTATATGAACAATTTCTCACTTGTAATAAATTTTAGTAAATTAAAATAATACTACTATACTTCACTTATTTATACAATAATTGAACCAATCACTGAATGAATAAAAAAAGAAAAGAAAACAAACAAACAATCAACTAATAATCTATTGGATACATTGAACTATTTTTTTTTCTTTTTAAGGAAAAGAAAAACAACAAACAAACAAACAAAAAGAAAGGAAATTTGTCAAATTAATTAAATTAATGCAATTGTCTTTTCTATCATTAATTATTCTATTAGTCTAAATATACATGGGTCATCATTAATGAACAATAGAATAATATACATACTCTCATTATAACAAAATTCAATTATGAATGAATAAATAAATAAAAATATATTAAATAAAGACTAAAATAATAACCATTACATTAAGAACTACTAAAAAGTAAATAAATAAATGAATATCAGAATGGGTTTTGTGGAGATTTTAGAAATTTTACTGGTTGAAATCATGAGTCAATTGAAGCTAGACCACCATGGAAAACCTGGAAGCACTGGACGGCCGTTTCGTCCTAGTATGAATATAATTTTAAATTAATGTTAACAATGAATACATTTTCTTATCTAACAAATTACCAATGAGTGTAAATGATAATTCGTTTGAATAATAGTAAATGTAAATAAGAAATATAAGTAAAATAATAATCAAAACAAAATATATGCAGAAACAAAATTGTATAACTAATTTTCATAAGTTTAATAGTTGAGATCATAAGTCAAACCTGGAAAAACTGGATGACCATTCCATCCTATTGTGGAACTGCTCAACAGTGTGCATTCACGATCCTGCTACATGAGATATTGAACCCAGGAGACTATCGGTCTTGTGTGTGAACGCTTAACCTCTAGACGACTGAGTCGGTATCCAACGGTGATAATGTCTAAATTCAAATAATCCACAAGATTGAGCGATACATCCACCATTGTCATCAGTGAGTTACTATCTCACAACAGATCCGGTTGAATTTCATTGGCCACTGTTTCTCATTAGAACTCTAGTAAATACCTCTTGAAGTCAATCACTAGTGACCATATGTTGATGAGTATCAGATTGTAATTACAAATTATTTGACGGTCAGTCGAAGATCTTTAAATCTATAGAAAGTTATTCACAATTTGATCTCTTGTCATTATATTTCTTTTGCCATTATAAAATATATGCTTTTATATGAATTAGTGCTTCATGGATCATGAAGATTTGATTATTATGCATCAATTCATATAAATAATCTTTTGAGTTATCATAAAAGTAATTTATTTAAATTAGGATTCACTGACAATAAATACAAGTTTCTAAATTTTGCACACGCACACATAGTTTGTATTTATTAAAAACAGAATGTTCAATATCTTACAGCTTTGATCTTTTATGAATGCGGCACCAATTGTTATATCTGGTCGTTTCTAATTGTTATGTCGAAATCGCTTATTACTTCTACTCGTAAAAATGAGAGACCACTGTAATTCTCACGATGCGAAAGTAAGAAAACTGAGATTGGTACAAGTGAAGATTTATTAACCCTTAAAACACGACGACGACTCTAGTCGAAAATACACTCATTTATACATTGATTTATATACCTACTTGGATTAATAATTAGGATAATATCATATATATGGGAAATACTCAGCGTTTTAACAAATCGCATGCTACATGTCACAGTTCATGGTAATTTAATACAAGAATATCGTATAAAATTCACTTAGTACTGTTTGCTTGAATCTTTCCATTGATGTTTAGGAATGCAATTCATCAGTTTCTTATTGGCATATATACATACTGTGTGCATTGCTTCGATATTACCTTAATAGAAATAACCAAGGCAACCTGCTTGAATATCTGGGCTACCTATTCCTTCCATCTAGATATTTCAACAAGTTATCTATTCCCTTGTTTCTTTCAACACATCATTATACCTTTTATTCATATAACCTGTTCATGTGCGTTTATGAAAAGTTTCTGACATTCCGCTGTACAAGTTATAAAACAACCCAATCAGAGACATTATAGTTGCTGGCAATATTCATTGAAAAGAATGAATATTATTCAGATATCGATTCGTGAACTGTTAACATCTAACTGGTGATCACTCACTGTTTATCGTTAATATCGATCAAGAGATAAAAAAAAACAGAAACTCATTGAAATACTTTGAGCTGAGAATTCTATATTGTACCAAAAATATAATATTGAGTAAAGCCAACAGTAATAATAATAATAATAATAATAATAATAATAATAAATTCACAAGCATTATGAGTAAAGATGGATAGTGGCTAGCAGTTGAACCCAGTATGCACGTTTTTTTCTCATTTGGGACTCATCAGCTGAGTGTGGAAGTAATGTTGAACAAAAATCTCAGAGTAAAAGAATGTAATTTTTGCCTTTTTAATCCCATCATATCAGATCTCTAAAATTCTATCATTTAAAGATTAAAATCTATGTGTGTAACAAATGCTTATATCCAATGTTTAGCTAATTGTTCTATTTGATAAAACTAGTTTTAATATATATGTATGAAAACAAAAATATTCTTCAGTTGACTTTAATTAAATTGATAGACATCAACACCGTTGGATGCCGGCTCAATGGTCTGGTTGGTTAAGCTCCTGGTACGAGACTGATAGGTCCTGGGTTCGAATCTCGCGGGGTGCGAGATCGTGGGTGCGCGCTGTTGAGGGGTCCCATACTAGGACGAAACGGCCGTCCAGTGCTTCCAGGTTTTCCATAGTGGCCTAGCTTCAACTGACTCATGATTTTAATCAGTAAATTGATAGACATCAGTAAAGTAATCTTTTGTAAATTAAAGATGATAAATACATAGTCTTTATTTGCTAATAAATTACTTTTATACATATGAACTGTGCAAAAATAAAAGGATTTTATTCCTCTACAAACATAATTTAAACACTTCTTATGTTAATGTAAAGTAATGTATATGAAAGATCTTTCTTACAAAAGACAGTTCACCAATTATTTACTACCTATAAAATTCCGAAGGTGCTTGGATGATAATGAGCAATATGAAAAGTTAGAGCTTTCTACACTATCATATTACAGATTAAAGGGTAATTTTATCACTATGTACAGGATAATAAAAAGTAAGTTTGGACCTGATATCATCCTATTTTTATTCTAGTTACGTCAAGACAAATAAAAAAGCACAACAGATAATTCTAAAGATGAAGAGCGAACAGAATCGTCAAGGTATATTGGCTTTCCCACTATGTACTAAACTTTTGAAACTAAATACCCAGAGAAGTGATGTCGGGAATTTTAATGCACTCATTCAAAGGAAGATTAGATATGTACAGAAGTGCATCAGAAAATGGAAATACACAGATCTCAGACTTTTGAACTTCAAAGCACCAGTTTGGATGTGAATTGTTAAGATAGCTTTATTGAGATTTTAGTAATGTTTTCCACGTCGAATGTTTTGTGATTTTTAGTGGTTCTAGAACAGACAACAATTTATGTCGAAAATCACTGATAAACTGTACAATATCTCCATAAAACTAACATAAGTATATTTTGATTTTCGATCAACTCCATTGATGAAAACTATGATGAAAGTCATACCCTGTGGGGTCATACACATTAAGAGTGGTAAATTAGCTTGCTGATGATATTAGATGTGCAACACATTATATAAAAAAAACCCTTGATATTGAGAATGTGGGGTCATTGAATTATGAGTTAAATATCGTGCTCACTATGAAACAAGTCTGCTCTAAATTAACAGGCGAACTTTGTTAAAACAGTTTTATTTGGCCGGAAACTAGATTTTGTTTTTCATAGTTTTTATTTGATACACCACTAAAATAATTTCATTCTATTTGTAGACTCTTCAGCAATATGAATCATTTACTGCTCCTTAACTTGATTATATATCTTTGAGATCATGGGTATACAGATAATAATCCTTTAATTAGAACAATACAACCGTTTTGTATTCAATAGTTTTAAATATTATTTATGATTAAATTCACTTGGTGTTGTTTCACTTGTATCTTCCCATTGTTATTTAGGACTGTAATTGATCAGTTTCATGTTAGTATATATGCATCCTGTGTGGATTGCACTAATTCATCAAAACTGTTAACTCTCTAGCAAGATATCTGAGTATTATGAAAGTGATTCTAGATCTTGCAAAGTTCGTTTTACTTAAACTATACAAAATTTAAGTGCTGTAAACTTGTTGCATATAAAAAGATGATGAAAAAAAAGAAACTTTCAGTCACCTATTAAAAGATTATTTCAATACATGAGTTAATAAACAAAACGTTTTAAAAATGCATTTATTACATTTTGAGGACAGTCTTATTGTTAATTCATTTCTGATAAAGTGTAGTTATAAGCGTTTTTTAAAAAAAACAACAGTTGAATCCTTTAAGTGTTTTTATTTGTAATAGTTGTAAAGGGATGTTATTTCTTCACAGATGGGAACGCGTTATTAACTATAATATTATTGTTATTATCAATTATATTTATTCTATTATTTATTAAATAATATGCATTGGTTCTCATGGTAACTTATATCATTGTTCACAAAGAAGGCAAAAAAAAGTACAGAATAACTATTATCCTCTTTTCTAGATTAACAATACATCACCTTAATTATTAAAGACATATGATTTGAATGTTATAAAGATAACCAATAATTTTAAATGTTGAAACAATTTAATAAAAGTAGAGCATATTTCCCTTATTTTTTTGTTCATATCAATGTAATTGTTTAGAATGTTTAATATATTTCTTTTTATTTCAATGAGGCCATGAATTCAATGAATCAAAATGTAATGATGTGGCAGTTGAAGCAGTAATAGTAGTAATGTAATAGGGAAGCAGTTATTTCAAGATATTCGTAATAGTACTGAGTAAATTGCAACTTTACTTACTTACTTACGCCTGTTACTCCCAGTGGAGCATAGGCCGCTGACCAGCATTCTCCAACCCACTCTGTCCTGGGCCTTCTATTCTAATTCCATCCAATTCTTGT